CATTGGGCGATTCTGGAAAAATGGAAGGACTTTTCAAAGAAATAAGACTGAAAGTAACTTCTAGAGGTCATAATCCACATAAAAATGTCTTTGGGTAATTTTCAAAGGTGATCGAAAAAGGATGAAATTTTCGAAACAAGAAGTATTGAAATATAGACCTTTTGAAAAAGTTTGCTAAAAATTTAGAAAAAAATCCAGGATATAGATTTGGACTTACTGATTCGAAAAATACAGCATGTTTATGTTCCCGGAAAAAGATTTTGGAAAAATTTCGTTGGAAAATCAATTTAACAAAATAATAAAAATTGCGATTTTTCATCGGCTGATTCTGGAAAAATGGAAGGACTTTTCGAAGAAATAAGACTCTAAATGTTGTAATTTACAGAAAAATCTCTTTGGATAATTTTCGAAGGTCGTTGAAAAACGGTGAAATTTTCGAAAAAGGAAACAGTGAAATATCTTAGATCTTTTGAAAAAGTTTGCCAAAAATTTAGAAAAAGTTCCAGGATATAGATTTCGACTACTGATTCGAAAAATATAGCGCGTTTATGCTTCCGGAAAAATATTTTGGAAATATTCGGTTTAAAAGTCAATTAAAAAAAATAAAATAAAAATTGTATTTCTTTTGACAATTCTGGAAAAATGGAAGGACTCTTCGAAGAAATGAGACAGAAAATAACTTCTAGATATCGCAATCTGCAGAAAAATCTCTTTGGATAATTTTCGAAGATGGTCAAAAAAGGGTGAAATTTTTGGAAAAAGGAAATATTAAAATATCTTAGATCTTTGAAAAAGTTTGTCAAAAAATTTAGAAAAAATTCCAGGATATACATTTCGACTTACCTACTGATACGAAAAATATAGCGCGTTTATGCGACTGGAAAAAAAATTGGAAATATTCGGTTTAAAAGTAAATTAAAAAAAAAATAAATAAAACTTGTCGCATTTCTTTTGACAATTCTGGAAAAATAGAAGGACTTTTCGAAGAAATGAGACTGAAAGTAACTTCTAGATGACGTAATCTACAGAAAAATCTCTTTGGATAATTTTCGAAGGTGATCGAAAAAAGGGTGAAATTTTCGAAAAGGAATTATTGAAATATAGACCTTTTGAAAAAGTTTCCTAAAAATTCAGGAAAAATTCCACGATGGAGATCTCGACGTAGATATTACAAAAACATAATGTATTTAAGTTCCCGGAAAAAGTTTTTGGAAAAATTCCTCTAGAAAGTCAATTAAAAAAAATAATAAAAATTGCGATATTTCATTGGGTGATTCTGGACAAATATGTAGAAGGACTTTTCAAAGAAATGAGACTAAAAATAACTTGTGGAGGTCGTAATCTGCAGAAACACCTCTTTTGGTAAAATTTCAAGGTAGTCAAAAAAAGGGTTAAATTTTCATAAGATATAAAAACTGACAAAAAAAATTTAGGATTCGCCAAAATTTTGACATTCTCGAAACTTAACTAAACACATTTTATGGTAGATTTCAAGTTCTAGAACTCACTTCCGGCCTCGTTTGTTTGATAACTGCAACCGTTTTTCCGGAATTCACCGTTGAAAAACCAAAATATTTAGAAATTTTCAAAAATTTGCATCTCGTACCGATTCTTTCAAAATGTTGCTCCGTGACCATCGACACCCAACATTTTTGGAATCAGCATGTCGAGATCTACGTCACTGAATTTTTTCAGAATTTTTAGACAACTTTTTTAAAAGCGAAATTTTTCCAAAAACTTCTTCAAATTTTGGCCAATTTTTGAGATTTTCAAAACTTAACTAAACACATTTTCTGGTAGATTTCGAGCTCTAGAACTCACTTCCGGCCTCGTTTCTTTGATAGCTGCAACCGTTTTTCGGGAATCGACCGTTGAAATATCGAAATTTTTAGAAATTGTCAAAAATTCGCATTTGGTACCGATTCTTTCGAAAACGTTGCTCCGTGACCATCGACACCCTATATTTTCGGAATGAGCTTGTCGATATCTACGTCCCTGAATTTGTTGAGAATTTTTAGACAATTTTTTAAAAGCGAAATTTTTCCAATGGTCCCCCCTTCTTCAAATTTCGACTAATTTTTGACGTTTTCGAAACTTAACTAAATGCATTTTCTAGTAGATATCGAGCTCTAGAACTCACTTCAGGCCTCGTTTCTTTGATAACTGCAACCGTTTTTCCGGAATCGACCGTTGAAATATCGAAATTTTTAGAAATTGTCAAAAATTCGCATTTGGTACCGATTCTTTCGAAAACGTTGCTCCGTGACCATCGACACCCTATATTTTCGGAATGAGCGTGTCGATATCTACGTCCCTGAATTTTTTCAGAATTTTTAGACAACTTTTTTAAAAGCGAAATTTTTCCAATGGTTCCCCCTTCTTCAAATTTCGACTAATTTTTGACGTTTTCGAAACTTAACTAAATGCATTTTCTAGTAGATATCGAGCTCTAGAACTCACTTCAGGCCTCGTTTCTTTGATTACTGCAACCGTTTTTCCGGAATCGACCGTTGAAATATCGAAATTTTTAGAAATTCTCAAAAATTCGTATTTCGTATCGATTCTTTCGAAAATGTTGCTCCGTGACCATCGACACCCAACATTTTTGGAATCAGCATGTCGAGATCTACGTCCCTGAATTTTTTCAGAATTTTTAATCAACTTTTTTAAAAGCGAAATTTTTCCAATGGTCCCCCCTTCTTTAAATTTCGACCAATTTTTCACATTTTCGAAACTTAACTTAATGCATTTTCTAGTAGATATCGAGCTCTAGAACTCACTTCCGGCCTCGCTTGTTTGATAACTGCAACCGTGTTGCCGGAATCGACCGTTGAAATATCGAAATATTTAGAAATTTTCAAATATTCGCATTTCGTACTGATTCTTTCGAAAATGTTGCTCCGTGACCATCGACACCTAACATTTTTGGAATCAGCATGTCGAGATCTACGTCCCTGCATTTTTTCAGAATTTTTAGACAACTTTTTTAAAAGCGAAATTTTTCCAATGATCCCCCCTTCTTCAAATTTTTGCCAATTTTTGACATTTTCAAAACTTAACTAAACACATTTTCTGGTAGATTTCGAGCTCCAGAACTCACTTCCGGCGTCGTTTCTTTGATAACTGCAACCGTTTTTCCGGAATCGACCGTTGAAATATCGAAATTTTTAGAAATTCTCAAAAATTCGCATTTCGTACCGAATCTTTGGAAAATATTGCTCCGTGACCATCGACACCCTATATTTTTGGAATGAGCGTGTCGAGATCTACGTCCCTGAATTTTTTCAGAATTTTTAGACAACTTTTTTAAAAGTGAAATTTTTCCAATGGTCCCCCCTTCTTTAAATTTCGACTAATTTTTCACACTTTCGAAACTTAACAAAATGCATTTTCTGGTAAGTATTGAGTTCTAGAAGTCACTTCCGGCCTCGTTTCTTTGATAACTACAACCGTTTTTTCGGAATCGACCGTTGGAGTTTCGAAATTTTTAGAAATTGTCAAAAATTCGCATTTCGTACCGACTCTTTCGAGAATGTTGAGCCGTGACCGTCAACACGTTATATTTTTGGAATCAGTGTGTCGAGGTCTACGTATCTGAATTTTTTCGCAATTTTTAGACGACTTTTTTTAAAAGCGAAATTTTTCCAATGGTCCCCCCTTCGACAAATTTGGGCCAAATTTTGATATTTTCGAAACTTAACTAAACACATTTTCTGGTAGATTTCGACCTCTAGAACGCACTTCCGGCTTTGTTTCTTTGATAATTGGAACCGTTGAAATATCGAAATTTGTAGAAACTCTCAAAACTTCACATTTCGTACCGATTCTTTCGAAAATGTTGCTCCGTGACCATCGACACTCTATATTTTTGGAATCAGCGTGTCGAGATCTACTTCCTTAAATTTTTTCAGAATTTTTAGACAACTTTTTTGAAACTGAAATTTCTCCTTCAAATTTCGCCCAATTTTTGACATTTTCGAAACTTAACTAAATGCATTTCCTTGTTGATTTCGAGCTCTAGAACTCACTTCCGGGATCATTTCTTTGATAAATGCAACTGTTTTTCCGGAATCGACAAAAATTGGCATTTCGTACCCTTCCTTTCGAAAATGTTGCTCCGTGACACCCTATATTTTTGGAATCAGCGTGTCGAGATCTACGTCCCTGAATTTTTTCAGAATTTTTAGACAACTTTTTTAAAAGCGACATTTTTCCAATGGTCCCCCCTTCTTCAAATTTCGACCAATTTTTTACATTTTCGAAACTTAACTAAATACATTTTTTGATAGATATCGAGCTCTAGAACTCACTTCCGGCCTCGCTTCTTTGATAATTGCAACCGTGATTCCGGAATCGACCGTTGAAATATCGAAATTTTTAGAAATTCTCAAAAAATCGCATTTCGTACCGATTCTTTCGAAAATGATGCTCCGTGACCATCGACACCCTATATTTTTGTAATGAGCGTGTCGAGATCTACGTCCCTGGATTTTTTCAGAATTTTTAGACGATTTTTTTAAAAGTGAAATTTTTCTTTGTACTGTGTAAGTGGTTGGCCATTTTAGGAACTTACATGCGACGAGAGTGCTTATTGGCCGATGGATGACGGAACGAAAGGGGGATAGGTATTCCGCTGGAGAGGGGATACTTTCCTCACTTCAGCTAGAAGATGTCTCACCACAATCCGCTCATTTTAGTTCTATACCTACTACGGTAAAACTGCCATCGTAAGCTCTCTCCGTTCGTTATTTTAACCCTAATTTAATTTATTTTATTTAGTGGTAAGTTTCCATATTGTTACTTTTAAGTTTACTTTACTGTTGTTTTATTATTTAAACGCTGATGATGATACTTGGTAGATAGCATCGAAACATATAAGCGAATATAATAAATAATTATCTCATAACGAATGTGTTTACAATGAAATAGATCTGTCCAGTCGACAGATTTATATTTTCAGTATTTTTAACCCATCTTATTTTTTCGTTGCAGTTTCCAAAATGGCAAACTTGGAAGCCGTTTTTGCCGAAGATATGCAGTGTCCGGTCTGCCTGGATATCCTTCGTCCTCCTGTTCGACTATGCCAAAACGGACACGCAACTTGTGACGATTGTCATAACAAAATTGACAGAACATGGCACACAACAAGGTGTCCACTTTGTCGGGGGGACTTCCGACCAGACCCTTGCCCCGTCAAAGAGCAGCTTTACTACTCTATGAAGGTGAGCTGCAAATTTGACGGGTGTAAGGTGAAAGGGTACGGAAGAGAAGTTGTTCGTCACGAACGAAGATGTATACTTCGGGAGGTACGGTGTTCCAAGTGCGTTTGGGAGGGTCCACATGTTTGGCTGCCAAGCCATCACTTCACTAACCATGTACGGATGAAAAAATAAAATAATCAATTATAAAAAAAATAAACATCGATTTTTTTCCATATCTCCCTGTATTTGTCATTCATTTTAGCCGCTTGTGATTAAGATAGCTTTAAAAATTAAAATCTCAATTGTTTATGGTAATTTTGGTACACTGTTATCACCGGTGTTTTCAGCTTACGAAAATCTAACACTCCGATAAACATTACCGACTTTTTTCGTCGGAAATGAGATACTGTAAAAGCAGCTTCTTCGGCACAAACATGGGCTTTGTTTCAAGATGATGATAAACTAGTTATTTAACATTTTCAAAGGAATTACAATTTCTTAGAATAGAAAATGATTTTATAAAAACTGACTTCAATATAGATGTTATTGTTATTACTTATTATTCAGGTAGGTACACACAACCAAGTACATTCATCTATAGGTAATTATCCGAGGAATTAGTTATTGTACCGTGGTTTAGACAAACATTCCCATTACTTTAATGACTTATTTGTTTTCTTTTTCTTGTTTGTGAAATATTGTTTTGATGTTCAGAAAGATGCTCAGACGCTTTTCGAGGTTAATTACAGCCCTTTCGTCAATTTTATGGTAGAGCTAAAGAGCCTGTCAGGGGAAAGCCGATGTTCACTGCACCCAATGTTCATTTCTTGGAAAACCTGCGGTTCGAAAAGGGTTGTAAAACGGATTAACTCTGGAAGGCCATAAAATTCTCATAATTCTACACAAACTTTACCGCTTTTCGGAAATATTTATGGTCGTGTTTGGCCATTTTAGTGACGGGGACACATATAGAAGGATGATTGCTGCTTATTAGACGATGGGCGACATGCTGGAGTGTTTTACGGGAAACCCTGTTTTCAATCACAACAATTTTTTTACCAAAAAACTCAATAGATTTTCGTTCCGATAATAAATAAACTTTTCCGACGATCGTTTATTAATGTGAAAATTACGAAAAAATTTGGTGTTCAAAATTGATCATTGGTTATTCAACGGTTAAATTAAAGTCGACAGGAATGTCAATGTATTGTTGGTTGCATACCAATCTAATAAAGTTTGTTATTTATACATACATAATTGCCAAAGAACAGAGAACTCAGTGGTATCCTCTAACTTACATTTAGTTTTATAAAAAATACCTATAAGTAAACTTAATTTTTGAAGCTGAAGCTCAATACATAAAAGTTCAATGCCACTTATACCATTATAATCATGGAGCACCAATTTAGCTCTGATGTTATTTTTTACATAGATTCCGATTCCCCCACCAGTCCGTTTTCGATCAGCCCTATATAGTTTATAATTATCTATATTGACCACTGAGGAAGGTATATAATCAGAAAGCCAAGTCTCCGTCACCGCTACCACTTCAAAGTCATTGGAATATGTTAAACTTTGAAATTCAGTAAATCCTGTAAACAGGGAACGTAAAAAAAACGATATTGTCGTTGAGTGACATGTAACTGGCATAATAATAAAAACGTGCCATTTTTGTTAACTGATATTTTTTTCATAAATGTCGCAAAATTATTAAATTTGTCTAATCATCCCCACCAATGTGATGACGTCACTTCAAATTTATGCATAGTAAATGGGTTTTAAATTGTATACAGTAACATAGTCCTACACATGTAGTTTATGACTCCGTGTTGAGTTTTTATCCAAAACGTCCAGATTTTTGGAAAAAAAATCAAAATTATAAAACAATATTTTGCAATTTAATTTTGAATTTGCAAAATCGAATACTTTGAAATCTAGCAGATGTTTTAAAATCATGATAAACATGATACATTTTTAATTAAAATATATTTGCTTATCCCCTCTAAAAAATTTATGACGTCACCTCAAAATTTTGCAGAATAAATCCTATCTTAAATGTATAAAATATGATGAGTTTTATACTTGTGATTTATCACTGCATTAATATTTTTTAGATTTGGTTATGCAAGGTGTCTCAAAAAAGTTAATGACTGAGTCAATTTATTTTATTGAAGAAATCAAGAATAGCAAAACTTAATACTTTGATATATTGTAGATGTTTTGAAGTTTTTGTAAGCATGGTAACTTTTTCGAAAATTTGATTAATCAAATATGCGCAAAATCAAAAATCGGAAAAACTGAAATTCACTAATGCAAAAAACAGAAAATCGAAAAATACAAATCGTAAAAATCGAAAATCTAAAAATGGCTAATCAAAAAATCGAAAATTCAATGAATCAAATACCTAGGTCGATCGAAAAGTGGAAATTCACAAACCTCAAAAATAGAAAAATCGAAAATTGAAAAACGGGAAAACCAAAAAATCGAAAAGTCAAAAATTTGTAATATTGAAAATTAAAAAAATTAAAAACAAAAATAAAAAAAAACGAAAATTAAAATAATCAAAATATATAAAGTAAAAAAATTGCAACGCTTAAAAACTGAAACGAACAGAAAAATCGAAAAAGCAAAAAATTGGAAAAACAAAAATTCGAAAAATCTAAAATCGAAAAAGTGGAAAATGGAAAAACTGAATAAAGAAACTTGAAAATTCTGAAAATTGGTAAATCGAAAACCAAAAAATCGGAAAGTAACAAAATCTAGTCCAACAGTTGCGAATGGAAAAATTGAAAAACCGAAAATTCTAAAAATGGACAATGGACAAATTGAAAATCGCAAAATTTAAATTGAAAAATTGAACATAGAAAAATCGAAAACTCGACTACTCAAATTTTTTAAAAATCGAAAAATCATAAAACTGAAAAATCCAAAATTCTAATCATCGAAAGTCTGAAAACTGAAAATCGAAAATTCTGAAAAGCGGAAAATAGAATATCAAAAAATTTAAAAGAAAGAAAATTGAAGTCTAAAAACCGAAAAATGGAAAAATTAAAAATCAAAAATTCGAAAAATCAAAACCGAAAAATTCAAAGATTTAAAAAGAAAATCGAAAAATCAAAAATCTGAAAATTGCCACTCGAAAATTTGGAAAATCGAAAAGTAAAAAAATTGAAGTCTAAAAGCTGAAAAATGGAAAACTGAACAATCGAAAATTCGAAAATCAAATATCGAAAAATCGAAAAGCCGAAAAATCGAAAATCTGATAAATCAGATATGCGAAAAACAGAAAATCTGAAAATGCAAAACTGGAAAATCAAAAATCTAAAAATTAAAAAACCGAAAATCGAATATTTAATGAATCTAATACGTAGGTCGATCGAAAAACTGGAAATTCACAAATCTGAAAAATCGAAAATTTGCAAGATTGAAAAACCGAGAATTGAAAAATCAAAAACCGAAAAATGGAAAAATCAAAAATCGAAAAATAGGAAAACCGAAAATTCGAAAATTCATAATATTGAAAACTAAAAGTCGACAATTCAAAAATCAAAAAACTGGAAAGTAAAATAATAGAGAAATCGAAAAGTAAACAAATTGCAAAGCCTAAAAACTGACCAACAGAAAAATCGAAAAATCGTAAAATCAAAAAGTGGAAAATCGAAAACAGGAAATTGAAAAATCGAAGATTGGAAAATCGAAAAATCGAAAATCGGAATATCGATAATCGACAAATCAAAAAAACCGAAAAATCGAAAAATTAAAAAATCGGAAATCGAAAAATGGAAAAAAAAACGAGAATTCAAAAATCGAATAACCCGAAACTAAAATAATAGAAAAGTGAAAGAGTAAAAATTGCAAAGTCTCAAAACTGACGAACAGAACAATCGAAAAATTTTAAAAAATCGAAAAATATCTAAACATGTAAAATCGAAAAATCGAAAATCGGAAAATGGAAAAACCGAAAAATCGAAAATCGAAAACTCGAAAAATCGAAAATTCGATGAAACAAATACTCGAAAAAGCGAAAAGTAAAAAATTTGCAAGGCCTAAAAATTGAAAAATCAAAAAATCAAAAAAATTAAAATTGAAAAAACGACGATCGAAAAAAAATCAAAAAATCGAAAAGTGGAAAATCGGAAAGTAACAAAATTGAAATCTAAAAGCTGCAAATTGCAGAACCATAAAAACTGAAACAAACAGAAGAATCGAAAAACCACAAAAGCGGAAAAACGAAAATCGAAAAATCAGAAAATAGAAAATCGAATTATCGAAAGTTGAAAAATCGAAGGTCGAAAAATAAAACAACCGAAAAATCGAAAAATTTTATGATTAATGGAAAATCGAAAAATCGAGAATAGAAGAATTAAAAAACCGGAAAATTGAAAAATCGGAAATCGAAGAATTAAAAACGTAAAATCGAGAATTCAAAAATCAAAAAAATCGGAAACTGAAATATAATCGAAAAATGCAAAAAAATTGCAAAGTCTAAAAACTGACGAACAGAAAAATCAAAAAATCTAAAAATGTAAAGACGAAAAATCGAAAACTGAAAGAATGGCAAATTAAAAAATCGAAACATCGAAAAATCAAAAAATCGAAAAATTAAAAAATCCAAAAAAGGAAAAAACTGAAAACTCGAAAAATCAAAATACCGCAAATTTGAAAAGTCAGAAAATTAGAAAGTAATAAAATCGAAAAGTTGATAGAAAAATGAAAACTGAAAAATCTAATTCGATGAAACTGTTGGTCGAAAAAACGAAAAATCGAAATCGAAGTGACCTTTTTTTGAGACAGGCTGTATAAGTAAATCTAAAAAATATTACTGCAATGATAAATCACAGGTATAGACTCATCATATCAAATTTTACGATGACGTCATGAATTTTTTGGCCAAGATAAGCAAATACATTTTGATCGTGGCTTTGAAAGTATTCTTCGACTTTCATTCCATTTCAAAATTTACTCTTTGTATATTTCAGTGGTCACAACGAGTTCACTAACTACGCTGAAGTATGCAAAGATTAAATTTGTCACCGAAAAGATGACGGAAGTAATAAATTATCCTATCGGTCGAAGAACGTTCGGTCCGGTGTTACACCTCGACCCAAGAGAGACCGCAGTAAAGGATAACAAATGGAACGGATAAAATAAAGCGTCAAATATGATTGATAAACTTTTAACCAAAATTAAGAAGTTTATAAACTGAACATTTTTTTTGCTTTTTGAAATGTAGTACACTTCAAAAAATGTCCGTGACTTACTTTAATGTGAATTTTGTAACTATGGTTGGCACAATTAGACCTAATATTAGTGTGATTTCGAGCATATTCTCGATGTTATTAGAGCAGGACAGGTTTTTTTTTCTAACTAATTGACAAGATTTCAAAGTATTCAGTTTTGCAATTCTTGATTTCTTCAATAAAATAAATTTACTCAGTCATTATTTTTTTTTGAGTCACCCTGTATGTATAAACAAATCCAAAAAATATAAATGGAATGGTAAATCACAAGTATAGACTCATCATATTCTGAACATTTTAGATAGGGTATTTATAAAATTAAAACCAATTCAGAATAAGTATTTATAAAATTAAAACTAATACAGGGTAAGAATTTGGTCAACACGTAAATTTCGTTGTAGTTTGAGCCTACCTACAAATTCTGCCCTTGGACGATTTGGACCGCCTCCTTCGGTGACGACCGGCAAAAATGATCCGCCCATAGGCTCAAAACATTTGCGTGCGATTGTACATTCAAATGCGCTATACTCATTAGCTTAGAATTATTTTTATTTGAGCTACTGGCCATAGTCAGTTTTAGATATTAATATATTAAGCTGTTTCTTGTACATAGTGCACTGCTGCTTGTC